TGACTTCTTTCCTTTTCATTGTAGTCCTTTTCATTAGTAATTGTTTAATTTTGCATAATTACTTGTGATTTTTACCACTTGTCAGTTGACGTTTGGACAAATAGAAAAGAGTCTAATTTATCTTCCTACTCTAACATCCTCAAAAATACTCTTTGTACATACAGAATATTTTTTACCAAAAAAAAATAAGAGGATTGCACTTCCATTGAGGATATTTTTAAAGGCAGTTTTAAAATTCTATGTGTATTTTGTAAAATGCTGTCACCTTTTTAAATTAGAAAACTTCAGATGGAAGCACTTACATAAATGCAAATTACAGATGATTATATTTGAATGTCATTTTACAAAACAGCAAGGATGGAATTAGACAACAAAGCTTAGGATGCAATAAAAGTGACTTCGGAATTCTGACCTGGATAAAGGCAAAGTGGTGATCTGTATGCTTCTTGAGGTCAGTATATTTTCACAGATGGTGGAGGTGGACTTCTGAGTTAAGGTTCATAGCTGAGGTTAATATTATAGCTTTCACTGTGGAGGTTAATTTGAATTAAAGGTCAGCGTGAAACTTCCTCACTAGATGTCTTTTCTCTTTTCACAGTTAAGAGAGAATGCAGTGTTATTTTGTCTCCTGAGCCTTTGTTCATCTGTTCCTCCTCCTGGGAAGAGTCACACATGTTCACCTCCACTTGCCAGATAAATCCTGTCCTCTGACATCTCCTTTGACCTCTCCTTCTATACCGCGTTGTACTCGCTCAGCCCCCATGTAGCATTGCTCACGTACAGGCTTAACCATGTTCTGCCCTGTGTTGTCAGGCACTGTTTGAAATAGTGAGGTCATGTTTCAATATATGATATATTGTGTGCTCCCAGAGGGACGGTGTTATAACTCCTTCATGCTCCATGGATTGTAGATGTATTTCTTTACAGTCCTACGGTTTATGGCTAGATGAAACCTTCAGGAGATGGTTTGTTCCAATGGCATAATCTTACAGACCAGGAAAATGAAGTTCTAAAGAGGTAAAGTAGTTTCTCCTAAGGGTTATTGTGGCTAGGTGTTAGAGGCGAAGCCAGGACTAGAAATTAGATGTCCTGATTTCCAGTTTAATGTAATTCCCACTTTTCCTTCCTTGTAGCCTTCATCCAACAAATATTTATTGAGCGTCAGTAGCACTCTGATAGGCCCTGATACTGCAATGCTCTGCCTGTCTTGGAACATAATACTGTGATCAGGAGGAAGATACTAACAGATATCACACAAATAGATGCACTCAAGCTACTGAGATAAATACTGTCAAGGATTATGTGGTTCCGTGAAAGCAGGTGATGGAAGATTTCCTTGAGAAACCGACTTTGACTTGTAGGACTTGGCATTGTGTTTATATGCACCTTTTAAATGCAGTTAAATTAGACAAGTATGTGTTGTCTGCTCACTCTGTGCTGGGCCCAAAAAGAAATTAGAGTCAGTAAGCTACCACCCCTCCCCTCAATGTGTAGTTTAGAAGAAGAAATTAAGATGTAACTATTAACATTAAGCAAAACATAGAAGTCCTGTGGTTCGAAAGGTGCGAAGATCGCCTTTTGGGGGAGAGGAGGAACATCAGGAACACCTTCCTGTAGGAGATGGCATATGATACGGCCCCCGAACAAAAGCTAGAGAAGGTACAGAAGGGAATAGAGAAGGCGTGCCAGAAGTACGAAAAAGCAGAGATAGACCAAGATAGGAAATTAGAGGACTTCTCCAACAATAGACAGTAATCTCATTTTACAGGAGCGGGATTTTCAGTTACACAACCATTGAGAACATTGTCTATTTAAATGCCCTATACAACTGTTGAGAACATTTACCTGTTTAAATGCCCTTAGAGTCAACTGAAATTTAAGGACGGCAATGCAGATATGCCCTCTTGTTTCTACTTTTGGAGCACATAGTCCTGCGCTTTGTTTGGTTGCCATCTGTATGGACTGTCCCCCTACCCTCCCGTGGGAACTGCATCTGATTCTTTTATTGCTGTTATTTCCTAGTATCTCACGGGTCCAACACACATTTAACCGTAACAGTGAAAAGCGTCTGCTATGTTGAAGCTGTTTTCTCTGGCATAAGTTACCTTCTCCAGAAACAAAAATAGAACTCCTTCCAACTGACATGGCTGGCTGAGTGTAGTGAGTGTCAAATTCATTTTTTAAATACTACTTACACTAACCTATGTCACCATGTAGCTTTTACCCGATACAAAGAGAAGTCTCAACCATTTCTCCCTAAGAAGGGTATAATAGTTTGTCTAATGTTATTGTAGAAAAGTGCTGCAGAATTACTTAATCATCCGCATGTGCTAAGTGGCCAGTACAGCGTTCCAGGCTGTGTGTAGAACACAGTGTTATTTGGTCAATCTTCTTAAGGAAGTAAATGGAGAGGCAGATGAGTGGCAGCTGACCCCACTCAGGCACAGATAATACTTTATCTCTTATAGGGTTGCCAAGATTTAAAAATAGAAATATTTTATAGAAAAAAAAATCTAGACTTTTGGCTTCCCTTGATAAGTCAGAAAATCTGGCAACACTGGGCCTGTATCCCAACAGCAACAATTAGTTGGAGCTAAATAGCAGCTGTTCTGTCTAATTAGGGCGTGTGTTTCTCAATGTGCCGCAGTCCCCATCACTCCCTATTGCTTATATCTGGCCTGTTTTACTCATTTCTGTGTCTTCCTGGCCCTTAAAATGCACCCTACTTTGGAGTTGCTGTTGCCTTTGTGGTCCTCTTCTCTTCAGTTTCCGAGAGCAATTTTATGGCCAGCCAGCCAATTAATTACGATCACAACAACTAGCATCTATGCGATGCTTGATAATTTGCAGTGCTTCTCAAACTTTTGCATGTATCAGAATCATCCAGAGGGCACCTCAAACAGAGATGGCTGAGCTTCATTTCCAGAGTTTCTGAGGCAAAAGATTTGCAGTAGGATTGGAGGGTTTGCATTTTTATCAGATTCCTAGGCAACCATGGGGACTGTAATTTAAGATTATACCAAGGGTGATCATTGTCACATCTCAGGACACAAAGGGTTAGAACTTGTTCATATTCATTGAGCAAGGGCAGAAAGGCAGGGGTTGAAACTTGAAACTTTTTTTTTTTGCTATGAAACATTTATTTTGTTTTGCAGTATTAAGTTTGATTAAAACTAGTACAGAAAAATACTAAGAACATTAGGTAACTATTTCAGTATTTGCTTTTTATAATTCAGTTAAGACAGTGAGCATTCAAGACAGCATTATTAACTCAAGGATGTAGCTGAGGGATACCCTGCGAAGTCATTTCAAGGGATCATTGGATATGTTGGACGCCTTCTGTTCAAACCTTGATTCAGGCGCTATCTGTGAAGACTGACTTTTTGTTCATATTCATTGATCAGGGGTTGAAATGTGACATTAGGCATCCCTGTGAAGGTATGAGACGTGCCTGCCGGGCAGGGTGGACGAGGTCCAGACCCAGCATTTTGTACTTGGAGGAGGCCCGGTTCAGCCGGCAGAAAGCAGAGCGGGTGAGCCCAGTGAGCACACTCTTTGGTATCGGCTCAGAGCAACAGGTGCTTCAGAGCCGCGCAGAGCACAGTGTTGGGGATTCACTGGGGAGCCAGTGATACTGTTTTCCAAGGGTAAGTCTCAGTCTCCTGGGAACTTGATTGAGGTAGGCGCCCTGGAGTGAGACTCAGGCACAGGACTTCAGGCTGGTAAGATTGGTGGGGACGTAAGACAGGTTGCCTGGATAGGGACTAGGTACAGAAAGCAACTGTCCAGGGCGGAGCTCACGCTTCTCGGTTACTAGATCTGACTCTCAGGGTCAGGGCAGAACTATCCAGAATTCTAGGTGGTTTCTTTAGTCCTGGCATGTTGGACTTCGTAAAACCTTATTTAAGTCAAGATTAGTCTAATGACTTGAGGCCCTTCCCTCTTATGGGATGAGAAGGAAGATAAAGACTGGAACAACACAGACCTAACATGGATTAAATTTATTAAAATTCTATCTGCTTAAAACTATTTAAGGAATAATTAGGTCATCATGTAATTATGATAGCCATTCGCTAACCTAGTTCAGAAGTTTGTATTTCTGTACAAAACCAAGACTGTTTTAATAAATTATTAGCCATCTGCCTCCAGTTTCCAAGGTAATTCATTATTACATTTTGTTGACTTGTGTATTTTTATATATGTGTAGTGTACATATGTACTATACCCATGAAACCTATTTTGATTGGGATAGTTAGGCAGTGGTATATTCTGGTTAATTTGAGGGTTGACCATACAACCTTTTGATTTCAATCTTGTCGAAGATTTTTCAGACATGTTTTTACCTCTTTCCTGCTAAATGTTGTATAATGAGAAGAACAGTGTCCTTCTTCCTTTTTAAAAAATTGACTAGGCTCCTCAATTTGATGTTAAGGCAGCTATAAAATAAATACTGGAAATTCGACTGTGTGGGAGGGAGAATAGTGACTGTTGTTCAGATCAAATCATTCTGATTAACTGTTCTGGTGGTTTTACATTCTGTGCCCAAAGCAAACCATAGAAGCTAATCCTGATTAGTTGAGTCTGACTGAACTTCTGCTAAGACGTAACACTCGTGGACTGAGTATATTATGTGTTTGATTATAATAAACTGTGAACGAAGAGAGGGTGAGTAGCCCTGTCTTCTTTCCCTTTAATAATATTTCTTGTTTTAGGACTGTGATATCACCTGAAGACAGTCATTATATGCGCCATGACAGCTTGCTGAACGATCTGCTTTCCTTTAATCACCTTTACGTAGCCTTAAGGTTTACGCTAGAGGGAGAGATTTGGGACTGGGTTTTATCTAAGGAGGGAAAAAAGAAGCATTACTTTATTATAAGCCAGTTTGAAAACCAGTGTAGGAGGAAAGATCTCCATTGTGCACAATGTGGTGCACAAACCAAAGGCAATTTTCAGGGATAGAAAGAAGATTAAAACTGCTTTTTTTTTTCTTTAAACAGGCTCATGCACAGTTAGTTCGAGAAGTAGATGTGGAGAAGGTGTCTGCTTTTGAGAATCCATATGTAGATGCAATAAAGAGTTTATGGAACGATCCTGGAATCCAGGAATGCTATGACAGACGACGAGAATACCAGTTATCTGACTCTACCAAATAGTGAGTATTCGTCGGGGGGCCCTTTGGATCTTTCTCTTTACTTTCCCGTGCAGGTGCCCTGCAGTGGTGACTTCTGCATTCTGTCATTTGTATAGCATGTCTGATTCTAACTGCGCAGGTAGGAAGCATAGATATTAAGCTTGTGCCACTCTCCTAAGTTTAGACTGTATCATAAGGGACTGACATCATGAGTCGGGGAGCATATTTCTTTTACTGTTTCCTGTTTGAAAAACAAACTGAAGATTCTAGGAATCTGCATTCACTAACCTGTCTCTTCCCCCAAATTGCAAACCAGCGATTCTCAAACACAGACTTCATTGTGATTTGAAATCCTGTAATAACAATTTTTAATGCAAATTTCTGATCTTATTCATATGCTGGAAAACACCTCCACGCATTGAGAACCACAAACAAATACGGCTGATTATGGCTTCTCGAAAATCAGACTTCCTACTTTCTGGTTTCCAGACATAGGACCTTGACTGCTTTCTGGGAGCCACTGTTACGTTGATGGATAGGTTTGCCTTTGTATGAAAATTGCGTGTGAGTCTTTTTGCATGCATTCCAAAATTGTTTGTGAGCTGTCAATCAAAATCATGTGTCCTGGGAGAGATTTGCTTCCTGGAGAGATTTATTAGTTCTCTAGATTAAATCTTGCCCAGCAGAAAGAAAGAGTTGGCCATCATAGGATTAATGTAATCAATGTGGTCAGCAATGTAGATAATCAAGTGCCTGAAAAGTTGATTTTTTTTTTGGTAGTATTTAGCCAGATTTCTGTCTACATTAATTATGTTAACCCAGCATTTGCCTCTTGTATTGGTTCTGGGCAGACAGAAGAATGGATGGAAGATATTCAGCCTTAGGCCAGTCTGTATGATGAAATGACCCTCTGGATGACAGCAGGACCGTGGGGACGATAAGGAGCCCTATAGGCTGATTGGCATCACTCAGCAGTGCAGAGAAGATCGAAGAGCTGCTCGCTCAGCTCTGTTTTTGCAATAAAGTGGATCATGCCCTTACCCTCATGCTAGGCATTTGTATAAGATCAGTTATGATTCAGGTTGGCTGCAGAAATGTTGGTTGGTCAGAACAGTTTTTGTATTCCAAAGGTAAATTTGAATTACATAATGGTGTGACGCGGAACGCTGGTGAGCACCGGTCTGTCATATTGAAGCTCATGTCAAGCCCCTGTGTGCCTCTGGAACATGTGCTTACTCATTCCTTACCTCCTTGGTCCTTCTCCCCACCTTCCCGTACCCTTCCTCACTGCCTGGCCTCAGGCTTCCCCTTCTGAGTCTGCCTGCCTGCCTATCCCTCTTCCCTCCCTCCATCCTGAGTTCCTACTATGTAAGTTTCAGTCAGTACAGCAGTGAAAAAGATGCCTTCAGCTCTTACTTGTTCCAAACTCTGCCCCCTCAACCTCTGACCAGCTGTCTTTCTGCTGCTGCCTGCCCCCTCTGTCCTTCTGCTTCCTTTGCCATTTCAGATCCCATCCGTCTCCCCACGTGGCTGCTGTCTCCCCCACCCCCTTCCTGTTCCTGCTCATCACGTCTTCTCCTGTTTGCTGGCTTCCCCTCTGCCCGCGTCTCCTCTCACTCCTCTTCACTCCTCACTCTGTGGCTGTGGTGCCTCTCCTGGCCCTTCCTAGTGAACACATCCTCCCTTATGAAGTTGTATTTCCCCATAAGTCCCCCACCTCTCCTCATGTCTAACCCCTGTCTTTTTACTTTTATCGTAAATCCTGTCTCTCCCGCTCCTCACCTGTCACCTGTATCTGTTCTCCCTACAGAGAGGTCTTTCTCTTGGGGCATCAGGGCCCCAGTGTCCAATAATTAATGTGCTCACCAGGGTTCAGGCTCCCTGTTAGGAAATGGTTTGCCTCCTGCCCCCGGGATTGACCCTCTGAGAGGGTGCTGTTGGCCCTGAGGACCCCCGTGTCAGCTACTGGGGTTGTGTTCTTGAGACCAAACTACCACGTCAATGGTGACGTTCCCTCAGTTTAGATTTGTGGATTCCTGGACAGGTGCCCATGAGTTGCTTTAGGGCAAAGAGCTACGCAGGACAGTAACTCCAGCCCCTGTGAGCACTGTGATTCTGGGAAGGCCACCGTCTTAGGATTCTGTCACACAGGCTGCATCTACCATAAAAACATGCCTGGTCTTTGGGCCCATCCCCCATGTTAGGACTAAAGATGTGGGGGCACCTGGGACAGGCTGATCTGAACCCGTTCAGATGATTATTCTTTACACAGTTCTACTTTCTCCCGATGGGGTCAGGGAGAAATTGATCTTTTATTTGTACAAGTGGGTGTATGTGTGTACACACGTATACCTGTTTCTTTTTTAACCATATCTTTGTGTAGAATTAATAAAATAAATTACAACATGTCCTTATGCCCACCTTTCAGTATGCATTTCTTTACAAAAAATAGAACATTTTCTTGCACCATGATACCATAGTACACCTACAATTAATCATCGATTCTTCTTCTCTTTCTATACCCAGTTCATATTCAGATTTCCCCAGTTCTTCCACAGTGTCCTTTCGAGCTGGTCGATTTTAGGACCACACAGTGCATTTGATTCTTACGTCCCTTAAGTCTCTTTTAATCTAGTAGAGTCCTCTTTTGCCTTTCACTGGCATGTTGAAAAGACTGGCCTGGATTGGGCCTCATAACATGATTAAACTTTTTCCTGTGTCTCTTGGATTTTCTATAAACTGCAAGTTACATTTCCAGACTTGATTAGATTCCAGGGAAACACTGTGAGTAGAATGCACTTTAAGTGATGTGGTACCCTGGTTTACCCATCATTGGTGAAGTTAAGGTTCACTGTATTAGGGCACTG